GTTAGTTTCCTGAGGAACCTCCACACTGTTTTCCAGAGGGGCTGTACCAGTTTACATTCCCACCAACAGTGCAGGAGGGTGCCCGTTTCTCCACATCCTCGCCAGCATCTAGAGTTCTCTGATTTGCTCATTTTAGCCACTCTAACTGGCGTGAGGTGGTATCTCAGTGTGGTTTTGATTTGTATTTCCCTGATGATTTAGGGTGGATCTTAAACTATCCCAGAAAGCCCTTGACCCATTCTCTTTACCATTCAAGTGAACGGGTTTTAATGGAAGATGGGTCTCTTTTTTCTCCCCCCCACTAGGGCAATCGATGCAAGCTGTTTGACTCTTCTTCCACATGTAGCTCTGTCACCCGGTCGGTGTTAAAAAGACCAGAACGATCTCAAGAGGAGTACCCGCCTGGAAATACAAAGCGGAGAAAGAGCATGGCTGCGGCCGGTCCCGAAGAGGCAGCTGGTCCAGAGAAGCCCCAGGAGGTTAGTTTTGCAGGTGCCTTTTTGCTCAAGGAGAATGATAACTCTATTTTGCAATTCTGAAATTTCCATTTGGCTTTTTTCTTTGCCAAGACTTAATATTTTCCATTTGTTTCAAGCATGTTGCTAATTGGCTGTTGAAGCATTTTTTTTATGACGGCTGCTTTAAAATCCTTGTCAGTTATTTCAACATCTGTGCTGTGGTGTTGGCTTCTATTGATTATCTTTTCCTATTCAAGTTGAGATTTTCCTGGTTCTTAGGATGACAAGTGACTTTTCAATTGTCTCCTGTATATTTTAGCTATTATAAGACTCTGTTCTATGTAAATTTTCTGTTTTAGCACACATGATACTGCAGGGATGATTGGAGTGGAAGTTCACATTCCCCAGCACAGCTTCCCTTGACACATAGGGTGACCTCATTATTGCAGGCAGGAGTGGGAGTTCAAGTTCCCCACTAGACCGCCCCAGTGGAGTGGAGGCTGGGCACTTAATTATGGCTGGGCAAGAGCTGCAGGTCTAAGCTCCCCACTTGCTGACCAGACATAGTGTAGGGCCATCATTTTTTCCTTGGTGTTTGGCTATGATAGTGTTACTGTCTAAACGTTTAGTTTTCTGTCTAGGGGGCGCCTGGGTGGCTCAGTTGGTCTCACAGTTCGTGAGTTCAAGTCCCATACTCTCAGCACAGAGCCTGCTTCAGATCCTCTCCCTCTCTCTCCGCCTTGTGCTCTCTCTCTCTCCTTTTCCCTCTCTCCCTCTCACAAAAATAAATTTAAAAAACTTGTAAACATTTTTAAAAATAAAAAGTTTTCTGTCTTGATAGGCTGCCCTCTTCCTAGTCCTTTGGCTAAGGAGAACAGGTTTTCCTTAAGGCTTCTTCTTTCTTTGGGCTTGCTGCACTGCCGTCTCCTGATCTGCTTGGAACTATACATTTCCTACTACTTCAGGTTTGTCTCACAACTTTGTATGGGTTTTTCATTGTTTAATGCTTATTTATTGTGAAGGGGAGAGAGACAGTGGGGTGGGGGGCGGGCAGAGAGAGAGGGAGACACAGAATCCAAAGCAGGCTCCAGGCTCTGAGCTGTCAGCACAGAGCCCTGTGTAGGGCTCAAACTCACCAACCATGAGATCATGCCCTGAGCTGAAGTTGAAACCTTAAGGGACTGAGCCACCCAGGTGCCCCTGTAGTGTTTTTCATTGTATTTCTAAGTATTTTAATTCTTTTCTTAATTCAGACCTATTATGACCTAGTAAAAGTTTAATTTTTATAAATGTTTCATCACCTCTACTCAAATCAGTTGCTCATAGTTATGTTTTGTTTTCATGTTATGTTGGAGCTTTACTAATATATCATGAATTTCTCTATAGGTCAGTACACAAATGTAAATTCTTTTTATTTATTTATTTATTTTTAAAGCACTTAGGACATTCATTCATTTTAAAGTTTTATTTTGAGAGAGAGAGAGAGAGAGAAAGAGAGACCAGCGGGGGAAATGCAATGAGAAAGGGAGAGAGAATCCTAAGCAGGCTCTACACTGTCAGCATGGAGCCTGATGTTGGGCCTGAAGCCCCCAACCACGAGATCATGACCTGAGCTGAAATCAGAGACTGGGCACTTAACCAACTGAGCCACCTAGGCGCCCCAGAGCCTTTTTTTTTTTTTTTTGAGACAGTGCAAGCAAGCGTGTGGGTGCTGGAGCAGCAGGGAGAAAATCCTAAGCAGGCTCCAGGCAGCCAGCACAGAGCCTCAGGGCTCAATCTCAGATACCAAGAGTCAGATGCTCAGTTGACTGAGTCACCCAGGCATGCTCCACGATTACTCCATTTTTATTAACTTGTTCATATATTTTGGATTGTATTCATAGTTTTCCTGATTTTAAAACTATTCTTGCTTCTTGAAATGTCATGTTTGGCTTATTTAAAATTACTTTTATCTGTACGTGGTTTTCCTTTATTATACTATTCCTTATATCAGGTTTTGGTATTGATGTTTGATATTTGGCATTGTAAAATAAACTGGAGGATTGCCCATGTTTTCTGTAGCATGAAAAGGTTTGAATAAACACTACTATTCAAAGTAGTAGATGACAGCCATGAAAACACCTAGACCTGGCATCTTACATTTTATAATCTGCTTTAGTTACCTAATACTCGATGAACATTTTACTTTTTCTAATTAAAAGTGGAATTCTTGGAGTGCCTGGGTGGCTTATTTGGCTGAGTATCCAACTTTTGATTTTGGCTCAGGTCATGATCCCAGGGCCAAGCCCCACATGGGTCTCCATGCTGAGTATGGAGACTGCTTAAGATTCTTTCTCTCCCCCCCTCCCTCTTCCCCTCTCCCCTGCTTGCACTCTCTTTCTCTCTAAAAATAAAATAGATCTCAGACCATGATTTCATGGTCCGTGAGTTGAAGCCCTGCATCAGGCTCTATGCTGACAGTTCGGAGCCTGGAGCCTGCTTCAGATTCTGTCTCTCTCTGCCCCTCTGCCCCTGCTCACACTCTGTCTCTCTCTCTCAAAAATAAACAAACATTTAAAAAATGTGTTAAAAAAATAAAATCTTTAAAAAATAGTAGAGTTCTCGGTTAAAGTGCAGCAACATTTATGGAACTTTGCATTTTATACATGCTAACAAATTGCCTTCCAGAAATCTTCTAGTTTATATATCTATCAATATTCAGGAATTAAAAGGATTGATTTATTTATGTATTTAGAGAGAGCAAGCGAGCACTAGCAGGGGAGAGAGAGGGAAAGAGTGAGAGAGAATCCCAAGCAGGCTTCATGCTGTCAGCAAACCGTGAGATTGTGACCTGAGCCGAAGTTGATCGCTTAACCAACTGAGCCACTCCAGCGCCCTGCCTGCCTTTTCTCTTAATACTGTTCTTTTGATGGAGAGAATTTCTTGATTTTTAAATGTATATCAATTAATCTTTTTTATTTATGTTTAGTGCCTCTTTTTCTCCCCCCACCCCTCACCTTTTTAGGTAATCTCTACACCCAACATGGAGCTTGAACTTACAACCCCAAGATCAAGAGTGGCATATTTTAGGGGCTCCTGGGTGGCTCAGTTGGTTAAACATCTGACTTTGGCTCGGGTCATGATCTCATGATTTGTGGGTTTGAGCCCCACATCAGGCTGACAGCTCAGCCTGGAGCCTGCTTTGGATTCTGTGTGTGTGTCTCTCTCTCTCTGCCCCTTCGCTACTCATGCTTTGTCTCTCTGTCTCTCAAAAATAAGTGTTAAAAAAAAAAATTTTATTTTTAAAGAGTGGCATACTCTACCAACTGAGACAGCCAGGCACCCCCAAGCCCTGGCTTTTTTTAGTGGAAAATAGTATTTAGAGACCATAGTGTCCTGTAGGAATGTTCATTGCACCTCTAGCGCTTCTCAGTGGATAGAGCTAAGAAATTTATTTTAGGCTTAGCCTTAATTTTAATTCCCCTTTTTAAAAAGGTGGGAAAAAGGAAAACTTAGTTTCCGAGCATTTCAGTTAGACACTGAAATAATAGGAGACCTAAGTCAGTGACCCATATTCTCTTTTTTTCAGTCCAGATTCAGTCAAATAAGAAAAATATTTTATTTGCTAAATATAGACATGAACATGTCACCTTCCTCCTGGTGACATGTTCTAGGTGAATGTTTTCAGAAGTTCTATTCGGAACCCTGACCTCATTTTCCACCTTTGATTTGTTACAGATTATACATCAGTCTTTATCCCTGGCATCTTCCCCTAAAGGGACCATTGAGAACATTTTGGATAATGACCCAAGGGACCTTATAGGAGACTTCTCCAAGGTAATTCTAGGCAGATGCAAGGAGAGCTGCTCTGGCTATGTGATTTAGGCTTTGGGTTGTTTCCTGGAACCCTCCCTCCCTCCCACTCCATCTTTCTCCTTCCCTGGGGTGGCTCTTGTGTCCCCCAAGGAGACACAGTTTGAAATTTTTAAAGATAAGGAAACAAACTCGTGATCAGATGTATCTTGGTCTCTGTGGGACTGTAGAGCTTACTGGTACTGATCAGAGGAAGTAGGAAGCCACCCACCAGCCACCTCGACTCCCACCCAAAGGCCAGGCTCTTTGGGAACTGTGTTTTAGTGCAGCAAAGTACAAAGAAGCAGGAATAAACCTGTAGCCACACTACACATCTGTATGTCAAAAGGTTATCTTAGAAGGTCCAGGGTTGAGACTGAATTTCTCTTTTGTCCAGAGAAGCATAGCCTTTGAAGGAGAAGGCCCCCGGGGAAGTTGGGAGGACGATCTGCTGATGGCCTGATATGTATGAATTTGCTGTGTAATGAGGTGGCCGCCTTTGAGCTGTGGTAAACTATGAGGGTAGGACAGAGAACGTGTCCACAGCCTGTTAAGCCACGGATGATGTGAAGACTACCAGATCAATTTCTTATTCATCAGCTAACATCTGTTGAAGCACTTATTGTTATGTGTTCAGTAAAGATTCCAAAATGACACCCAGTTCCTTTCCTCAAAAACTTACCACGAGGTCAGTAAGACCTGCTGTGCCATATACCACATGGGAAATTGAAGTGAATGTCCTGATGGTAGGAGTCAGGGCCATATGTCATATTTCAGCCAGGTGAGTGTTGATGGAATAGGAGCACATAGGGGGTCAAAAATAGGAGACCCTTCTGATCTGAAGGAAAGAGTAAGCAAAAGACTGGGTGTGTTCTCATATGGTGGACACTTGAATTGAAGCAATTGGTTGTTTGCCATAATGACCTTGCATATGGCTGTGGGGATGGGTGAGCTCTTGGTTCAGCCACTTGGCCTAATGAGTAATTGCTGGTGTGCCCATCTTTCCCCTCAAGGCCAGGTCTCCTATTTTTCCCAATTCCAGTGCCCAACACCATGTTCCTCACAGTCTGGTTACAGAGATGAGGGTTCCTGACAAAAGCAGGGGGAAGGAAATTATCTGAGGTTTCTGTATTTACATCTGGCTCACTAGCTAGCTAACCTTGGCTAGGCTTTACATTTGAGAATGAGGATAATATGCCTTGTAGGTATGTTTGAAAATGAAATGTCAGGATGTTAATGAGGTACCTAGATGAGTAATGCATTTAATGTTGCATTTATAGGCTTTCAGATTTGCTATGTGTCTTTTTTTTTTTTTTTTTTTTTTAAGGGTTATCTCTTTCATACGGTTGCTGGGAAGCATCAGGACTTAAAATACATCTCTCCAGAAATTGTAAGTCCCCATTTTGGATCCTGCCACCCATGAGGTATTTGAATCTAGCTGTTTCTGGCAGCCAAAGTTGATTCTCCTGGGCTTTCTCCCCACAGATGGCATCTGTCTTGAATGGCAAGTTTGCCAACCTCATTAAAGAATTTGTTATCATTGACTGCCGGTATCCGTATGAATATGAGGGAGGCCACATCAAGGTATGGGTTCCTGAGGCTTACTGGTGAGCCCTGCTGTCATGGGAGGCGTAGAAGGAGCCCTGACAGGATCTGTGATTTTATTTTTTTATTTTTATTTTTTTTTAAATATTTTTATTTATTTCTAGGAGAGAGAGAGAGCGTGAGCAGGGGAGGGTCAGAGAGAGAGGGAGACACAGACTCCGAAATAGGCTCCAGGCTCTGAGCTGGCAGTCAGCACAGAGCCTGACGCGGGGCTCGAACCCACGAACCGCGAGATCATGACCTAAGCGAAAGTCGGACGCTAAACCGACTAAGCCACCCAGGCGCCCCTGGGATCTGTGATTTTAAAAAGGAGGGTGGTGACATGACACCTGGCAGCTTGCTGGCTCATATGCTGGTTCTGAGAACGTTTTTAAGCAGTCTTGACTGCTGGTGCACTGGAGAATGTTCCCTGGCCTCACTACTGACCACCACCTGTACAGTAAGTGCTCTCCATCCTGTGTCTCACACCTTCACCGTGATGGGCATTTCTAGGTGGTACCACTGATTTCTAAGCCAGGCCTGAGCACCACAGGGCTTCTGACCAGAAGCCAGCCTCTGGTGACATGTCCCAGTCTATGCTGGGCTTAGTGATGCCTCTCAGTTTGTAACTGAATTAAGCTGCCTACTGGAGGTCCAGTGTTGTCAATTTAATCTTTTAATTAATAAAATAGTGTTGAAATCTAGTAAAGGGGTACATTAAATACAACATTAGTGTTTGTCAGTATCTTAGTGGCTTTGAAAGTCCCAAATTCATAAATCCTACTACTCTAGCCCACTGTAGTCATAACAATTGGAGGGGCCCGATTACAGATGACTGTCACAGAGTCATAACAGCAAGTGTGATACACGCAGGTGCCAAGAGTCTCTGGTGCCTTCTTCTCAGGGTGCGGTGAACCTGCACATGGAAGAGGAGGTAGAAGACTTCTTGCTCAAGAAGCCCATCGTTCCTACTGACGGCAAGCGTGTCATTGTGGTGTTCCACTGCGAGTTCTCTTCTGAGCGAGGCCCTCGCATGTGAGTGCTGTGTGAAACTGGGCTCTGGGGCGTGGGCCCACGGTGCTTTTGTGGGATGTGGCAGTGGATGGCTCACACTGGCGGCGTCCTTCACGCCGAGCACCCTCTTGCATGTCCCAAGTCATTTCTGTGCCTTGGCCTGCACACGTGATGCACAAATGTCCTGTTTTGTAAAAGTTCAAATTCATGTGTAGCAGATGTTTTCCCAAATTTTTACCTCTTAGGCAGTCAGTTGATTTGATGAACAGCTTTCTTGAGTGTGGCTTTGTAGGCCCGACCTGGCAGTTGCCAAGGGCTTTGGGCCTTATCCTGCCCAGTCTTGTCTCTGAGGCTAGCATGGTCATACCGGAAGGACAGAGAGGGACAGCCAGAGAGGGGTTGGAGACCAGGGCAGGGCAGACTGCAGCCTTGACTAGAATGGGCCGAGGTAGACAAGCCCACAGCCCCAGGTTCTTGTGCAGCCTTTTATTTTGAACTGGTTCGAAAGTCAGGCCATTTTCCTGCACGTTCCTCACTTGATTTCCCCAGTGGCTAATGTTTTGCCACATTCGTATACGTACAACCACATGCACAGCTACACTAGAAACTTGGCTCACGTGACCATCTCCCCATCTGCCTCCTAAGGACAAGGACTTGCCCTGTGTTTAGCACAAAACCGTGATCACATGAGGAAGTGGGATTTGAGCAAAGCCTGATGTTTGTTCACAAGTGGAATTATTCACTCTACAGATACTTACTATTGCTCTCAGGTGCTAGAGAGTGTTCTGGTTACTGGGGAGAACAGCAAAGTATAGGAGAACAGAAAACCCTACCTTCAGGGAGCTTGTATTTCAGAGTGGGCAGGAGGCAGACAAATCCAGTAAGTCTGTGTTAGAAGGTACTTCAGAGACAAGACGAGGTGGGTGCTCCGGGACAGGTTGGAGGAACAGGCTGGGGGCCAAAGTAAGTAAGTGAGTGGAGTGGAGAGAGGGGGAGAGCTGCAGGGACAGGGTACCAGGAGGTGGTCGGAAGGAGCCACTGGCCATATGAGGGTTTTGGGGAAGAGTATAGGGTACATGCAGGTGTCCTGAGGCAGAGCAGGCGCCGCCTATTTAAAAACTGCAGGAAGGAAGAAAGCCGCCAGCTGAGATGGGAAGTGAGGAAGGGACCCTGGGCCAGTTGGCTAGGGGTGTGGCAAGAGTGGTGAATGCAGTGGGAAGCTGGCTCAGGTGCTGTCACTGCACAGGAAGTACAGGTGGTAGCAGGGAAGACGCTGAAACGGGGGTTGGACAGTAGGCTGTTTAACTTGGAGAAAGGACAGTTGGGGAGAGACTGTCTACCTTCCACCACCCGTGAACTCTTCCTAATGATCACACTTGGCCAGCAGCTCACCCCTCAACACTGATTGTTTCCAAGAATGAATGTGAAGTTGGGAACAGTGTGTAAGGAGTCACGCCACGCCGCGGCTCTCACTGCGCTGTTGTCCCATGTCCTTTGTCTCTGTATCAGAAGAGCTAACCCTGCCATGGCCTGCCTTCTCAATAGGTGCCGGTATGTGAGGGAGAGAGATCGGCTTGGTAACGAGTACCCCAAACTCCACTACCCTGAGCTGTATGTCCTGAAGGGCGGGTACAAGGAGTTCTTCCTGAAGTGCCAGGTAAGCTGAGGTCCCTGGAGAGCATGGCCACCCCTTACCCAGGTTGGACAGTTGGCTGTTTCTTGTCTGGGGATTTGCCACGCACAACGAAGGGCGCTAGAGGCTGCTGTGCCGACGTGGGGAGCTGGCTTAACAGTGTGAGGCAGACGCCCCCTGATCATCCTCTCTTGTGTGCAGTCTCACTGTGAGCCCCCCAGCTACCGGCCCATGCACCACGAGGACTTCAAAGAAGACCTGAAGAAGTTCCGCACCAAGAGCCGGACCTGGGCAGGGGAGAAGAGCAAAAGGGAGATGTACAGCCGTCTGAAGAAGCTATGAGGGCGGTGGGGCCGGACCGCAGCAGCCAGAGCCTCCCTCCATGCCACCTCTTCCCTCTTCGCTGCAGAGAAATTGAGCAGAGGGGCCAGCGGTGTGGAGAACGGGCCTGGGGCTTGCACGCCTCGCTCGCATCTGCGCTCCCAGGGCTCCTGCCGGCATTGCCTCTTCTGTCCCCGTAAGACGTTCTCTGCCTTGGGACTGTCTGTCAAGGCTGTGACTCGCCACAGCACAGTTCCGAGCACCAAGCCAAGAAGTTCTGACCCTCACCCCCGCTGTTGGACGAACGACCTGAGGCCTTATTGGCACTGTCCTCTCGTGAGGGGAGGGACAGGAGGGGGAGAAGGAGCGCGAGTGGGAAGCTGCTGGCCACGTACCAAAGACAGCCTGGGAGGGGGTGGTCTCTGTGGGATAACCCGTATCTTTAATTTATTCAACTTCATCAATCACTTTAATTTTTTTTTTTTTTTTAACTCCTGGAGACTTTTATTTAACTGCTTCTTTAAGTCACAATACTGCCATTCTAGGTAGGGTTTTATCATCCCAGGGACTACCTCTGCTTTAAAAAAAAAAAAAAAAAATGTATGGAGAGAAGAGGCAAACTTGTGTTGAGGGACAGAAGTAGGAGCTCTGTCACCCCCAGGAGGCACTGTGGTACTGGGGCTGCTGCTATTTAAAGCCAAGGACTGAGGTGCCAGTGGGAGCGGGCACTGGACTCAGACTTGGCTACAGGACATAAGCTAAACCTCCCAGACCTACCTCGAAGGCCACTGAGATCTCTGGGCAGGGGACCTATTCCTCACCCCAGTTCCCTGTGATGTTGGCTGGCATAGGAATCATAGGAAAGCACTTCAGGCAGCTTCCGTGGGGCCACCCCCAGGCCAGTGTTGGAATGCAGTAGTGTAGGCGTCCTAGACTAGGGGGAGCAGGGCGGGAGGGGGGACTCTGGGGTTGGGGAAGGGAGCGTACACCGAGTGTCTTCTATTATTACTCTGATACTCTTGAATAGCTTTTAATTTTCTAAAAATAGTCATTTTATGAGTCAAGGAGTATCAAATCAGTGTTGGCTGGGCCACCCAAGGTTGAGGTGGGCTGGAAGCCCTGGGCATTAGGAGAGGGATATGGGCGCTGGCATACAGATGACCATATAGAATGTGTTTCTCAGGAGGCAGCGTGGTGAAGTTTAAAGGTAAAACTTTGAGTTTATCATGTTTGAATTTGAGGGATAGTGAGTGATGGCTCGTCACTAATTGCCCTTTCACCTAACTCCATGGAAATGGGGGTTTCAAAGGAACAGCTCCTTTCCAAGGAGCTGGGGCTGCGTTGGTTGATTCTGGACAGGCCTGTTTGGTTCCTGCTTATCGCCACCCACAGTCACTAGCCTCCTCACCATCTCTGCTCCATTGGGGCGTAGCCAGGTTTTTCTTACACACAGGTGCCAGTCTCCCCACTTGGCTTCCTGCTCTGGAGGTTAGGGGGGGAAGCAGTGATGATGGAGACGGCTGGTTACTGTTCTGGGTTTGAGTTGCATTTGGCTATAAAACAATCTTGTTAGAAAAAGTGGGGAGGAGGGGAACAGGAGGAGAGAGGAAGGCCTCTTCCCCCTCTCACCACACAAAAGACACATCTCAGTTGGTCTCTAATGTTGTTTAAAGGGATTCTGTTGGTTGAATGCCTGGAGAGGGAGGTGGGATGGCCTTCATATTGTACCAGCTTAGCTAGCATTGCTGACCAACTGTTGCAGGCTCTGAAAATAAAAACAATCCAGAACCCATGCTCTCTACCTAGTTCTTGGTGGATTTAAAAAAAATTGTGATTCCCTTCAAGGTTCTGGGACCATACTTGACTAAAACCGATGGCAGAGGGTTGCGAGAGTGGCCATATTTCATCAAGAGGCCAGAGGGCTCCCATGTGGCATGATTTCAGGGATGGCCAGAATGACCTCTAGTTGCTACCCTGATTCCAAAAACTTGTCATTCAGATTGATTTGCAAGATGAAAGAGGCACAGTGCATGCAAAGCTTGCCTGAACCACTAACACTTCTTCCCAAGATCTGTTAATTCATATGGATGAAGCAACCGTGCAAAGGAAGGATGTTAGAGACAGGAGTTCCAGGTGTGCTCTGAAGGAGAGGATACTGAACGAGATAGGGCAGGTGTTGGCAGGTCACTGGCCTACGCAACCACCGGAGAGACTTTGAAGTGTGATTGATGCTGGGGCTACTGGCCGGAATGGGTGTCAGCTGGAGCAGAGTACATTCTGCCTAGAAAATAGCTTCTGTTCCTTTTACATATACTTCAGATCTTCCCTAAATACATAGCAAATGGTGAAACCTAAAACATTTTACCCTTGGTCCCACCTCAAGCATTTAGACCTTGGTTCCCTTCTGTTTGCATCTATAATCGACATTATTCCCATGTTTTAGAATTGTAAGACCATGCATGAAGAAAGGAAGTCCCCTATAATCCTGATCTCCAGTGTTTATGTGTCAGGAAGATGAGAGGGGTGCCTGGCTGGCTCAGTGGAGCATGCAACTTTTTTTCCCCCAATGTTTATTTTTGAGAGAGCAAGCGAGCATGAGTAGGGGAGGAGCAGAGAGATGGAGACAAGAATCCAGACTCTGAACTGTCAGCAGAGAGCCTGACGTGGTGCTCAAACTCCAGAATTGTGAGTTCATGACCTGAGCCAAAATTGGACACCCAACTGACAGCCATCCAGGCGCCCCTGGACCATACAACTCTCAAGGTTGAAATTCAAGCCCCAGGTTGGGTGTAGAAATTGCTTGAAAATAAAATGGGGTGCCTGGGTGGCTCAGTAGGTTAAGCATCCAACTCTTGGTTTTGGCTCAGGTCATGATATCATGGTTTGTGAGATTGAGCCCTGAGTCCAGCTGTGGGCTGACAGCACAGAGTCTGCTTAGGACTCTGTTTTCTTCTCTTTCTGCCCCTTTCCCGCTCTCATATGCTCTCTCTCTCAAACTTTTTAAAAAAGGGTGTGTGTGTGTGTGTGTGTATGTGTGGCTATGGTCTAATGTATCCCGTATTACAGTCCCTTCCCAAAGACAAAAGTCCATATTCCTAGTGAGAAGATAACAAAAGTTTTGATTAAATAGACCACATAAACTTTAGGTTTTCAGTTGAAATAGCTGATCCCTGCTTGTAATGAGTATTATCTGTACATATTTAAAGACACATGGAAGGGGTGCCTGGCTGGCTCCACCAGAAGACCACATGACTCAATCAATGTCATGAGTTTGAGCTATATGTTGGGTATAGAGATTGATTTTAAAAAATAATAAAAATAAAAGCACATATGGGGTGCCTGGGTGGCTCAGTCTGTTAAAAAAAAATTAAAAGCCTATATAAAATGTTAATTTGGGTTTGCTGCTTTTCCTCAAATTTTCAGAATAATTTAAACTTCAACATTTGTTTCTGGGCCACATACTAGTTTTCCTTAAACCCATCTTAACCAAATTATTTTCAAGGACAGTAACTTTATAAAATTAAACTCTGGCCCATGTGCTAAGATTTAACCCCAGCCTTAGCTTATGTTCATCTTATGCTCCAATAACAGATACGGTTCCGTTTCTAGAACGCACCCTGCCCCCTGAGCCTTCCTTCAAAGTTTGAGAACTAGTTACTGAAGAGTCTTGGGTAAGACAACTCACTAAAAAAGTTTGGAGTCAGGGGCACCTGGGTGACTCAGTCAGTTAAGCATCCGGCTCTTGGTTTTGGGTCTAGTCATGATCTCCCAGCTTTCTGAGATGGAGCCCAGTGTCAGACTCTGTGCTGACAGTGCAGAGTCTGCTTGGGATTCTCTGTCTCCCGCTCTCTCTACCCCTTCCCCGCTCACACTGTCTCAAAATAAATAATAAAATAACAAACTAAATTCAAAATAAATAAATTCTAAAAAATTGGAGACTATCAAGAGACTGCATTTCTATCAAGCTCCTGATGCCACAGGTCCTTGGGCCACACTTTGAGAAGCCAGCCTGGATGAAGCAGTAGTAGCTGAGGCTGCCTGGCTGATGAGGAATGATGGGGACACAGCCACAGGGGAAGCTGTGGGCATGGGAGACAAGGGCGCTGGGCACTAGAACCTGGTGGTGGCTGGATGGCAGTAAGGGGGAGGGAGAGACCATGATTGTGTTCTGGCTCCTTCCTGAGGAACGGGGTAGGCCATTGGCACTTAGAGCAAGAAATCTAGGAGGAAAGGAAATATCTGCATTGGGGAACTTTATAAAGCTGCTGGCCTATATTCTTCATAAATATCAGTGTCACACAGGACAGAGGGGTAGAGGAACTTCTGGATTAAAGGAGACTCAAGAGACAAATTAAGTATAGGATCCTGGACCAAAACAAAAAGTGCTGTAAAGGACATTTTTGGGACAATTGACAAAACTTCAATATGGACTGTTGATTAGGTTAAAATATTGCCTCAGTGCTAAATTTCCTGAATTTGATAATTATATAAGGATATCCTTATTCTCAGGAAATAACAGCAGTTAAGAAATATGATGTACGGGAGTGCCTGGCAGGCTTGATTGGTGGAGCCGACTCTTCATCTCAGGGTTATGAGTTCAAACTCCACATTGGGTGTGGAGCCTACTTAAAACAAAAGTAAAGGATGTAATTTACTTCTATATGGAATAACAGTAATAAAAAGATGCAAACGTGTGTGTGTAAGAGAGATACAGAGAAGAGAAAGTAAATGGCATAAATGTGAAAAATCAATGACTTTTTTCTTTTTTTGAGTAAATTCTATGCCCAAGATGGGGCTTGAACTCACCACCAGGAGATCAAGAGTTGCATGCTCTACCAACTGAACCAGCCAGGTGCCCCCCAAATTAATGACTCTTTGATAAAGAATATAAGAGTACCATTTTTGCAACTTTTCTGTATAAGATTGTTTCAAAATAAAGAATTTCAAGAGGAGAGGACTGCAGCGCTCAGCTCCTATGTGAACAGTTCAGGTGTGGGCAGCTGACAGTCTAGATGCCTGGGTGGTCAGGGAATGAATGTGAGGGAACTACTCTGTGGAGATATCCAGGCTTTTGACATCAACATGTCCGAAACACCCTAATGGCACTGGACACTGGATTGGTAGGAGGGGTGGGTGGGTGAGGCCTAGGCGAGTGGAGGGAAGCAGCAAAAGGCAGGAGGGCAGGAAGTCAGCTCCCGGGGCAGGGAGAGGGACAGGGAAGGGGAATGAGGTCACGGGTGCCGGCCGGGTCACAGGAGGGCCTGGGAGATAAGAGAAAGCTCTGCAGGCTGGAGCCAGCACATGGCCTTGATGAACAAAGGCTGCCCACTCTGGGTGGGGACGGAGGAGCGACAAGGAGAGAGGAAGAAACAACATCAGGGGCAAACAGGGTGATCTGAGGGAGTTCTCAGCCATGATGTGACTGTGACCTGGCCGGAGGATTGGGAGTGGGGATGACCTTGATGATTCTAAGATCTTAAGACCTTTGTTGTTCATTTGGACTTCCAAGCGGTGATGCCTGGAAGTCGTGTACAAGTTCAGTCTAGGGCTCGCTGTTTGCACACTCCCAAGTCAGAGAGCTCGCTCTTTCCAGGAGGTAGCCCC